GACCTGCGGAAAAAAGCAAGTTTCTTCACTTTGATTATTTTAACGAAAGCCTGATTCCACCACGCAGCCTCACATTTGCTGCTGTGTTCTCATGGATGTCGCAAACAGTTCCCTTTGTTGAGGGTCGGCCAGAATTCTCTAATACACATCAGTTTGGTTTTTGATGAAGCAAAATGCTTGTTTGATCAAATTGAGGGTTTGTCCAGTATTTCTACGTGTGTGGAGAATAAAATTACTATTTTATACCTCTGAGTTTTAAGTTTCCGTTTATCTTCTCTCTATCTTGTGACTGTGGACGAGTGGCTTGAATTTTTTCCATATTGGAGAGAAATAAGTGACTACGACTACGTTTATGAGGAGGTCTGTGTTTCATTTAGAGTCTGGGTGGTTCAATTTGTCTCGGAAAATGGATGTATAAGATAAGACAACATAAGATAACACAAGATAAAATAACAAGATACGATAACAATAATTTTATTGATCACAAAGAGAAATTTGCTTCCGCATGGTAAATACGGCGCGTGCGTACACACACACACACACACACACACACACACACACACACACACACACACACACACATACACACACACACACACGCTGGTGAACGTCCTTCCTTACGGGGTTAAATCTTTTGTTTGTACGTGGGATTGCGGATTTCCTGGTCAAATTTAATTTGATGAAGCAAAGCAAGTTCAATTTGAAATAGCAGGCTCTGGTCAGCGGCATCTTTCTATTTCATCAAATCATTTCAAAATGAAATTTAATGTCCAGCCTCTTGAATAACTTTTCAGTATTGCACGGGGCGTTAACTCTCACTAGACGTGCGTTCTGGTCATTCGACAATGCTTGAAGACGCGCTGTTTGGAGGCATTTATGAAGGAAGTATAGCTTCTTTATTCTTACTGATGTTTGCAATTTCGTATAATTTATATGGTACTTTAAACATTCAGTGAACAGCTAGCACACTCTGAAATATGCAAACTCATGTTTGTGATTTGCACTTGATGATCGGGCATATTATGTGACAAATATACATCCTCAAAGAGATAAAAACATACCATGCAATACGCATCCAACCCACCTGCCCCCTGTATCTCCTTGACAATGTCATCAGCTAGACTCCCATTGTAGAACTCAGCTGCGCCACCGTCAGCGATTCTCTTCAAGGTCCTTGCCAGCTTGGGACGCCGGACCATCTCCCCTTCCTTGTACCAGGTGCCTGTAGCTGGGTTCGTCACGGTGGCTCTGCATGACAAAGAATATACAGCGCAGTCAACACAAACCGAAAACGGTTAATCCAAAAAACAGCGGTAAACGGAAAGAAAATTAAATCCGATTTGAGGAACGTCTCTAAACCAAAAACCCAGCTAAACCGAAGAATACCCAGCGGTCTCCAAAATTTCGGATTAGGCGGATTCCACTGTAAAGTGATGTCTTCGAGCTGTTTGCTTTATCGACTTGTTTTATCAGTCATTCACAGATGGAAAAAAAGAAAAGACCCATTTTTCGGTCAAATTCTTTTTTTAACTCTCTCTCTCTTGCAAAGGCTTGTAGACAGGTATAAAGATAATATAATTTGGTGTTAATGCGTCTGCAATCCGTCGTTCGTGGCGGCCATGTCGTTGTCAAGTAGCCAGTTCACCAATTATTCTCCTCGTGCATCAGGGGATTAAAAATAATATGTGTCCAGGAAGTGACAGTATGCGTTGAAGTCACCAAGGATGATAGTATCAGAGCAAACAGGGAATCATGGGTGGCCAAGCTTGTGTTCTATTGGATTGTGTGGGATCAGACGTGGGAGCAGTCTAGGTTTTAGAACGTTGCCTACTTCTTACTCATCTTTACTTTAAAAAACCGAAGTTTCAGTTTCTCTGGTTGAAGCGTCGCGGACATGTTAAAATATCTGGGAATTCAGCTATCTTGAATTTTTACGGTCCCCTCTGACAGATATGAAGCCTTTTAGGTAGGGGTTAGAGAGGGAGGGGGGCGTCTTTCCTGGTTTCAGTTTTGACTCCTGAGTCTAGTCAACCAGATGTCGGAACTGTTCACATGCAGTTTCACGACGAGCTCTCTGACAATCGGAAGAAAGCCATCTGCATTTCATTACTTTTTTAGAGACAGTTTCGACATTTCTTGAAGTTATCCAACAGACAATTCAGACGCTATTCCCCGGACTCTTATGCTAAGTTGTGTGACCGGTGTTTCGTTTCACAGTCGTTACAGTTTCAGGTCTACTGAAGGGCTGTTTTTGTTGCGGTAGAGCAAGTTCCTTGAATGTTGTTGTTGTTGTTGTTGTTGTTGTTGTTGTTGTTGTTGTTGTTGTTGATGATGATGATGATGATGATGATGATGATGATGATGATGATGATGATGATGAAATTCTAGTCGTTGCTGTAGGAAACAACAACGGCACCTCCACCCCCTCTACCCAATACTTAGACGTGTGTAAAAAAAAAACCTCAAACCACAGAGACAGGTAACGTCAAAGACAGAGCTCCTGCACAAAAGATTTAAAAAACAACAAACAAACAATATGAACCAACAAGCAACTACAACTCACTTGAGAGCTGGAAACGAGTCAAATATTCCTGTGGGTATTTTACGTTGGATGATAGCAGCTGCAGAGGGCTCGATATGGAAGCCTTCAATAGCAAGTTTAATCGCAGGTTGGAAAAGGTCGCGCCAAGGAAGACGACCCTGTAGCTTGTGAGCTTCCCAAAAACCGAGAATTTCTCCCGGTACAGCGATTGAACGACCTCCTGACAAATATATACATTTACTATATATTCATTTATTTTATTTTATATTTTTAAAAATTCTTTTTAGGCTGGCGTTTTTATAACCCCACCGACACAAGTTTGATCATACAGGAGACAGGTTTCCGACCCCGCTTATTAAGGCTAATCCCGGTTAAGAGGGATACATCCCAGCAAAAAAAAAAATTGAGATACTCGATAAAAGTTTTCTTTTCACTAGGGAATCGACCTCGGATCTCCTACCTGCGGTAGTGAAGCGCCTGGATCTACACCACAGACTCCGACGAGGAATGGATATTATATAGTAGCTGTTGGCTCTGTCGTAAGAGCACTCCTCTGTTCGTGGGTGTGAAGGGGTTTAGAAAAGGTCAACTTTAGCCCTCCATTCGAAATTTTCTCGTCCAGGGCATCTTTACTCTATATGGGGCACATTTGCTTAACCTTGGCATCAGGTGCAAAAGGCTCTCTTTACTTATTGTGTACAGGAATTTTTGCGCCTACTTTTTGATTTCGCGATATTCGTGATTCTAAAAACATCCTTCGAATTCAAATCGTTCCTAAATAATATGTTAAAAAGGTTGCTACTGTATTGGAATAGATGCCAAGAATAGATGGCACTGGACAATTTGAATAGTGGATTTAAAACTTTCGCGAAAAAACACGAAGTGGACAAAACTAGGGACGGAGCGCCTACATAATCAATTTTTGATAATAACTGCCTCTCTTCCCTAATTTGAAAACATCACCGTGAAAGAAAATAGCCTTATGAATTATAATAACAGAAGTTGAGTAAATCAGCTTTGGAGCAGTGTGCACAACACTAGAAACTGTATTATTTCCATATAAATACCCAGTTCACTCCTTTCGTTAGACTCTCATAAGCAGTCAGAAGCATTGATTGTGTAAGCTAAGAATTAAACTGGCAGAGTCTACCTAAAAAAAAGTGAGGGGGGGTGAGGTGGAACACATAATAATTTATATTTAATGAGGTATTTTCCCGATTATTATGGCAGTTGAACGTTCCAGTCAACAAACACTACTTGATCAGTTTAACTCTCAATGAAAAAAAAAAGGAAAAAAAAAGTGGGGGGGGGGGGGGGACTAACTCCTACTGCAGTGCTTTATTCCCCTCAACCTTTTAGCGCCTGTTATCAGGTCATGGCATGAATATATCCTGGCCGCAAAAGGCTAGATAAAGATAGCCCAATTCGAAACCAAACTGATAATGCATAATTTATTTTAGCATTGTCATCTCTGCTTCTTTGATTTCTGTTTGTGTATTCATATCTTTATTGTGAGTCACTTCCTTGCACTCACTGCAGGCTACATTTTCTGGCTCTCTTTGACCTAATTAGACACAAGTACCGCCAAAGCAGGTCATACGTGTGCAAAAAAAAATCTGTGGAGAAATATATACATACATATCTCCAAAAAGGTTGGAATGGTTAAATCTATTAAAATAGATACAAATTGAAACAATTATGGTCATTTCATGGACAGGCAGAAACAACAGTGGGAAAGAAAAGAAGTAGGATCGATCATTGAAATCCTCCAACCACCTGATAGGCTGGAGTGAAAAAGATGATGTTTGATTTACAAACAAACAAACCCTGTGTTACGCCGACAGTATCATTGATGAACATCGTTGAGTTGGCTGCACTCGGGGCCATGGTTCTGGCTATGATGGACTGTACTTTCCTGGACGCTCTGTGGAGAGTTGATTGGTTGGTGTGTCTGAGACTATAAGTATGAGGAAACAAAAATCAGATAACTAATTAAGGGTAGGGTATCATACTAATATTTCAGGTCTCGAGACATCACCACACACGCACACACAAACACACACACACACACACACACACACACACACACACACACACACACACACAAACAAACAAACAAGCAAACAAAGAACAACAACAACAACAACAACGACAAAAATAAAAATAGCCCACAAGCCTTTCATAAGTTTTAATCTCAGAAGCTTTCGTAATCTGCTGCTCATTGAAAGGCGGGGAGGCCATTGTGGTTCTAAGTACTGTGAATGACGTCACCACAGGAATCTTGACACTGACATGAGGCGTCGTTAGGCGCGCCATAGTCTCTCTCTCTCTCTATCTCTCTCTCTCTCTCTCTCTCTCTCTCTCTCTCTCTCTCTCTCTCTTTAAAATTACAGCCATCCTCAAAATAGAGAACAATGTGTCTTCGTTTTGCCTTATTGAATAAAACTAAAATCGCTGACCTGTCATAGATTGTCGCAAAATGACCACCACCGAGTCCACTGTTCTGAAATCTTGTCACTCCCACACACAACATACTAGCAATGGCCGCATCAACAGCACTCCCTCTCTTCTTTGCCATGAGCTCTCTGACCGAAGAGTATCAAGAATAATATGTTAGCCATGGACCTATACGCCTGTAAATATAAGGACTTTCATTGTCTCATCTCGTAATATAAGCATTACTTTGATCTTTAAAGTGTGAGTAATCGTAATTCCATCGGATTATTATCCGAATACTGATTGTGTATAATTTAGTATTCAGCTTAAATGGATGTGAGACTTTTGGACTTACAATAAGAATAGTTAAGAGAGAAGTTCTGTCCCTGGTAATATGCAGACCCTCCTTCCTAAAATTAAAATACATAAAGCAACACTGAACAATGCTGATGGCTTCAAATATCTTGGCAGTACGCTATCTTCAAATGCCCGCATTAATGCAGAATAACTTTACGTGATGAATAAAGCTAGTGCTTTCTTTGGAAGACTCAGAGTAAAGGTTTGGGACTGTTGTGGCATCTGCACAGAGACAAATTGAAAGTCTGCAATGCTGTGGTTCTCCCAGCCTTTGCTGTATAGTGTCGAAACCTCGACGGTGTACCAAATCTATGCAAAAAGCTTTATCATTTCAATATGAGATGCCTCAAGACTCAGGAGAGTTCTTGGCATCAAATGTCTGGATAAAATACCAGACATCGAAGTTCTCAAAAGGGCAAATGGCGAGAAACTGTTTTGTACGCTCAAAAGGACACAACTTCGCAGGGCTGGCTATGTCGTAAGAATGCCTCATTTCAGAGTCCCAAAGGCAGTATTCTATTCTGAACTGTCCTCAAGGAAGCGTAAGGTTGGCATACCAAAAAAAGTGCTTCAATGACACCTTGAAAGTGTTTCTGAAGGACTTCAACATAAATATGAGAGAGCCTTGCTCCTGGCAGTCCCATCTTGAGAGTAGCAGTCACAGTGGGCAGCAAATTATTATTATGATACTTCATGAATAAGAAATAAGAAATACTGAAGCCAAGAGAGAAGTCTGCCATCAGTGCACATCCTCATAATTATGAACGTAAGGCATATAATTTTTCAAAATGTGACCAACTTTTCTCTACCAAATTTGGTTGCATCGGCCACAGCAGAAGCCACAAGACATCTTAACCTTTAATTCTTTCGAACAATGACGGACGAGCTATCACTATTATCATTTAGCATAAATATTATAGATAACATTAAGCAGTTCATTTATAATATAGGTGTGTGACTGTGGGTCACTTTGTGAGTGCAATATTATGCATGGGTGTGTATAGATGCATGTTGAAGAAAGGATATGTGAGAGTGAATGTGTGTATATGTGCGCGCGTGCGTGTGTGTCTGTATGTCTGTGTTTATGAATGTATGTGTGTTTGTGTGAGTGTGTGTGTGTGTGTGTGTGTGCGTGTGTGTGTATTTGTGTGTGTGTGTGTGTGTGTGAGAGAGAGAGAGAGAGAGTGACGGCTGCGCCGGGGAACAGCGACTGCTGACGTCATTTTACCGGGGAACAGCGACAGGCGAACAGCGACTAGTATTTTACTATATTTCTTTGGTACAGTTGAACTTGGTGTAATCGCCTACAGTATCGAATACACTTACACCAAACATGTTACATTTCGTCTCGATTTTCAGTAAGCTTAACCAAAGATAGTGAATAACAAGATGGGCCACTCAGCCAAAAAAGTGTCCGCAGGAAGTATGCTCTTTGCTTCAGATGGCGCTGCAGTCTGTTTTGAAGCTCTCTTTCGTTTTTCCAGAAGAAGAATAGGAATAACACCTCCTTGCGTGCGCAGATCGACTGCTGTTCATCAGCAGTTCGGGTACGTTCAGTGCGGAGTTTTAGGGTTTTTTATTTTAATGACCTCTCGCCTTTCATTCTAAAGTCAAATTAATCGAAGAAAACCATCACCCTTTTCTCCGGACGAGGTTTTTTGTCAGCGTAACCATTTTAAAAAAGTTTTCTTCCGTAATTTATCCCAAAACTTGCTAGTTTCACTTTCATTTTTTAAAACTCAAGTAGGGTAACTCTGTTCGCAAAAGTGCGCTTTTGTGAAGAGGGCGCCACCAAATTTTGAGGACACTTTTTTAATTGGCTCAAAGAGAGAAGTGGCCCATCTTGTTATGTACTATCATTGGCTTAACTAGAGCTCAGTCAAATCTCCCGCCAATGTGTTCATAAGGAGGATCAAGAAAGAGAGAAGTTGATCACAGCGTAAAGCAATAAGGAGCTGTCGCAGGGAGAATTTTAAAGAAAAATTTCTTTTAAAATGCTGTCAGCTCAGTAGCAAGTTTGAAAACAGTCTCCAGAATGTTCTTAGAGTCTGAACTTTTGTTTTTCTCTCTTTGCATTGTCCTCTTCAGGTGGATGTCATCATTTTCAGTGAGGATGCTGCGACTGCAATTCTCTGTTTTATTGTTGTTTTCCAATTTGAAATTGTTTCTCCATGATTGGTTTATCATACTCCTACACGATCATACTCTTATTCACATGATCACACACACACACACACACACACACACACATACACACACACAAGCACACACACACACACACACACACACACACACACACACACACACACACACACACACACACTTACGTTTTACCCCCTCCTCTCTCTCTCACAAACACACACACACATACACATACATATACAAACATACATACAATCACACACACACACACACACACACACACACACACACACACACACACACACACACACACACACACACACACACACACACACACGAACACACACACACAGAGAGAGAGAGAGAGAGAGAGAGAGAGAGAGAGAGAGAGAGAGAGAGACAGACAGACAGACAGACAGACAGACAGACAGACAGACAGACAATCACAAACATTTATAATTGGTGTTATTTTATTAAACATACATGTACGTGTGTGTATCAATAAAGTACAAATACAATGAAAACAAAAACACCAAGGTAACAAGCAAATAAACAAACAGGCACACAAAATTTAATGGGAGTCATTAATGTATGAAGCATAGATGTACGTGTGTGTATCATTAAAGCAAAAATAAGGTGAAAACAAAAACACCAAACTAACAAACAAATAAACCAACACGCACACCGATTTATGATGGAAGTCGTTTTATGAAGCATACGTGTGTGTATCAGTTAAGTAGTGTAGAAATGGAGAGAGTAAAAACGAAAACAGAAACGGAAACAAAAAACAACCAAACAAATAAAAACACACCGGCACACGAATTTCTACTTGGGATCATTTCATAGAAAATAGAAATATAATGTCATGTACACGTGTGTATTGTGTATCGGTTTAAGAAAGATCCCTGGAAGATCATTAAAAAACAGAACAATCAGAGCCAAATATACGGGGCTCTCGTGGTCTAGAGGTAGGCCTACGCCTTCGTTTCACATTCAGTAGGTTCCATGTTCGAAACCTGACAGCGACGGAAACATTAATTTTTTTCTCTAAAATGTTCTTTTTTCACCTCCTTTCCTTTTCTCTAGACATGTAGAAATAGTCAGGAGCAAAGGAGAGAGGAGCCCACTGGCCGGGGGTGGGCCGGGTTAGAGCGAGAAAGTGGAGATGAAAGCAGACGACAGAACGTACTGCTTCTCCTTGCTCCTTCTTACTACTGTCTTTCAGTCACACATCCCTAATCTTAGGGTAGGAGTGACCGAACATTTTGCTTTCTCGAAAGGGCAAAATATCTCGGAGGTCCCATGTGCAAGCTGCGCACTTTAAGTTCTCTTGGTGGTTCTAAAATCGATAAGAGTAGGCTTCGGCCGCCACCAAGGCAAAATTCAAAATTAATTCATACAAAAACCTGACAATACTCTAGTCAGTTTATTTAAAGACATAAAGAATAGCCTACCTTCGAAATCTAAACGTGGCTGCCTGAAAGCAAGGCCCTACGAAGTAGGAAAAGCGGTCACATACGTAAAAATCAATTGTATTGCAGTTTGAAGAACCAACAGTCGACTTCCTCTAAGGTCTAGAAGAAGAAGAAGAAGAAGAAGAAGAAGAAGAAGAAGAAGAAGAAGAAGAAGAAGAAGAAGAAGAAGAAGAAGAAGAAGAAGAAGAAGAA